AGTTTTAATATTCATCACATTCGCAGCTTCAACATCAATACTCTTCCTTGTCGGCTAGCTGTAGTCCAAAGTCAAACGGAAAATAGTTGTTAGTGGCGAAAAATTTTCACAAGATAAAAGAGCAGCGAGTAACCTGAAAAACGTCGAGAAAAATCGAGGCGCCTTTGCCGCCAAAAATAAGATGGGTTGGCGCCAAAAGTAGTTCTGAGAGCGGAGGAAAAAGTGATTGTGTAGTAGCGAGTTGGTGAAATTACCACGGATCAAGTGGAGTATCGATAATTGTATGGGAGTTTATGGTCGGAGTATATTGTGAGAAATCATGCCAGGTGGAAGCCAATATAACTTGAGAAGTCAAGAAAGTCAACAGGGTGTGCAGCATGATACCGACGAGGAGCGTGATGGGGCGCAACCAGCCCATATGGCAGCCAATATAGCCAGTCTCAACGCTCTCACAAACGCAGTCGGACAGTTGAAAGCAGTTACAGAGGAAAGCCAGCGAGACATCGAAAGATTGCGAAACAACATACAGTTCGACGCACGTTCTAACGTGATTGAAGCAATGCAGCAGGGTAGTGAAACCACACCAGTGACGCGACCGGAGCGTTCCACGCAAAATACAGTGATCGAGGTTAGTGATTCGGTTACAAAATTGTATGATCTGCCTATATTTTCCGGCAACACCGAAGACTGGCCACTCTTCTTAGCAAACTACGACATAACCTAATGCGCTTACACAAATGTTTAGTTGGTCGAGCTAGAGAAACAGTTGCTTCCATGTTGATCTGAGTGAAAAGCCTTCAGCTCTGCTTCTCTTGTTTGCGCAAAAGACACAACACATGAAACTGTCGCTTTAAAAAGTTTTGTAACGTCGATGGTTGCCGTCGATACCATCACCGAAGCCTTCACGAAAGCACAGCAGCAGCCGCTCACGCAAATGCAGCCCGCAACCAAGGGGGGGCGCAGCGCATTCTCAACTGTAGGGAAGCCATATCCACATGCGGCCACCTGTTTAAATACGTTCCTGTGTCATTATTCGCACCAGATGGCAGGGAAGACGTTTTTGCCATGATTGATGAAGGTTCAGCTATTTCATTAATAGAAGAAAGCGTAGCAACCCGCTTGGGTCTAAGTGGTCGCAGGCAACCACTAACGTTGCAGTGGTATGGGCAGAAGTGTACCACAGAAGAATCGGCGAAGGTTAGTCTAGAGGTAAGATGCAGAAACAGTCCAGTAACTTACAAGCTTCGCAACGTGTGCACCATCCGTACCCTGGACTTGCCAGTGCAGTCCTTCAAAAAGTTTCATTACGCCCATTTCGAGCCATTGCCATTGGAAGATTATTACGAAGTTAAGCCATCGTTGTTGTTAGGTCTCGACAACACGTCATTGAGTGTGCCATCTGCGACCGTGCAGGCCGATAGCGAAAGTCCAGTGGCCATTAATACGAAATTGGGCTGGATAGCATACGGGCCGACCAGATCAGTAGTGCAAGCACCAGTAGTTCTACACATTCGCGAGAGAAGAAGCCTTACGTCTTTGCACGAACTAGTCACCCAATATTTTTCAGCAGATAACTTTGGAGTCAATGGATCATCAGAGCTTCTAGAGTCTGAAGAGAATGAAAGGGCGTGCCAGATGCTGCAATCCAACACACGTCGAGTCGGTAAGCGGTTCGAAGCTTGGTTACCATGGCGCACTATTTCACCAGAACTTTCGCATAGCTATCAGATGGCCTATAAACGCCTGCTAGGTATAGAAAAGAAAATGCGTTTTGACTCAGCATTTGCCGCCAAATACAAAGAAGAAATCGCAAAGTACATAAAAAACGGTTACGCTAGAAGAATCTCCTACGATGAAGAGGGAATCGACACATGCTTTAAGTGGTATTTACCTCATTTCGCAGTGCAAAACCCGCACAAGCCCGGAAAATGAGAGTCGTGTTTGATGCAGCCGCCAAAGAAGTTGATATCTTGTTCAGATTTCGCGAAGGAGCAGTCGCAGTAGCAGCAGACATCCGTGAGATGTTTTCACAGGTGCTGATAAAGCAGCAAGATCAACAAGCGCAAGGGTTATTGTGGCGCGATGGAAACCATCTTCAACCGGTTCAACAGTACGTTATGCAGTCGCTGGTGTTTGATGCCATATGTTCACCTTGCATAGCCGAATATGTTGAAAACACGAACGCTGAAAAATTCCGTCAGCAGTATCCCGACGCCGTTGCAGCAATAATTAATAGTCATTACGTAGATGACTTCGTAGCCAGTTTTACAGATCAACAAGAAGCAGAGAGAATTTGCCGAGAGGTCGTATTCATCCACGCCGAAGGAGGTTTTCAACTGAGGTCTTTCGTGTCGAACATTAGGGATATCGAGATCAGCCTGAATAAATAACCAAGGATAGTACCACAGCCAGTAAGCTTAGAAAGCGCAACCAACCACGAAAAGATATTGGGAATGTATTGGAATACGGCAACGGACTCGTTCGAATTCCAATTCCAGTTTCATCGTATCCCAAAGCCAGTATTAGAGGGAAAACGAGCACCAACGAAGCGTGAACTGCTGAGCATAATCATGGCAGTCTTTGATCCCTTTGGTATTCTAGCAGATTTTCTACTATTTGTCAAAGTACTGATCCGAGAAGTATGTAAAAGCCGCATTGAATGGGACGAAGCTATCCCAGATAAGCTCCAAAACAAATGGTTTGCCTGGTGGAACGAGTTTAAACGCGTTAACGAAATTCGGATCAGACATTGGTATTCGCCTCAATTGCAAACAGCCATATCGATTCCGCTTCACATAGTAGCAGACGCCAGCCAAGTTGCATTCGCCGCCGCTGGTTACTTTCGAGTCACCAGTGCAGAAAATTGTGAGGTCACATTTGTAGACGGTAAAACCCGAGGCGCACCTCAAAAGCTCTTGTCCGTGCCAAGATTGGAGCTGCAGGCAGCAGTACTAGGCGTGCGACTCGCCAAACTAATCTGCCGTGGCCATAACATTCAGCCCGACATGACAATTTACTGGTCCGATTCACAAACACTGCTACATTGGGTCAACTCCAAGGAGAGAAAGTTTAAGCCATTTGTCGGCCATCGCATCGCCGAAATACTATCGTCGTCCACGCCTCCTCAGTGGTGTTGGATACCTACTGAGGAAAATACTACCGATATTGCTACTCGGCCAAAATGGCCGCCGAAGGTCGAGATGTGCAGTCCATGGTTGCGAGGTCCAGAGTTCCTGCAGCAGCCCATTGAGTGTTTTCCCATCGTGTCCAATAAGCCTTTGCCAGACCAGCTACCAGAAGAAATCCAGCCGTGCTTCGCCTTGCATATCGGGGTAAATGATTGTTTACTTAAGTTTAATCGTTTTTCCTCTTACTTAAAGTTGAAACGGGTGATGACCTGGGTTCAACGAGCCACCTACAAATTTCTGAATCACGTCCGTAAGCACCACAACAACGAAGATACGCAGCAAAGCGGAGCGTTGACCGCCAGCGGACTCCACAAAGCCGAACAATTCATAATAAAATCAGTCCAGAACGAGGTTTACGCCAAAGAAGTTGCAGCGCTCAAAAATTCAGAATATCTTCAGAATATCTTCCATTCGCTAACGCCTTTCTTGGATAACGAGGGCATTATGAGGATACAAGGCCGCATCGACGCAGCCGAAGTTTTGCCGATAGAGTCCAGGCAACCGATCTTGATGCCGAAAAAACACATCGTCTCGGTACTAATAATGCACCAGTACCATGAAAACATGCACCACCAGAATTCTGCCGTCATCGTTAATGAAGCTCGCCGAAAATATTAGTTCCCTCACGCTAAGTCGTTGCTGAACGCAGTTCAACGCAGCTGCAACCGATGCCGAATCGACAAAACCAAGCCACCACCGCCTCTCATGGGCCAGTTACCCGAAAACCGCGTCACACCGTACGTCAGGCCCTTTACATACATGGGCGTCGATTTATTTGGCCCGTTCAATGTTGCGATTGGTCGCCGAAGAGAGAAAAGGTGGCCAGTGATATTCACTTGCCTTACCACCAGAGCTGCGCATTTGGAGCTGGCGCACGATTTATCAACAGACGCCTTTCTCTTGTGTTTGCGGAATTTCTTCAACCGCCGGGGAACGCCAGTACGTATAAGAAGTGACAACGGGACGAACTTCATAGGTGCCCAAAGGGAACTGAAGGATGCGGAACGAATTTTAGACTTTCAACGTATCGACAATGAAGTCGCCCAACGCAACATTGAGTGGAGATTTAATTGCCCTTCTAACCCGAGCTCCGGAGGTTGCTGGGAGAGACTCATCCGCGTCGTGAAGAATTTGCTACATAAAATTATTCGAGATGAAGTACCGCGGGAACAAACACTAAGGAGCTTGCTAATAGAGATCGAAAATATTTTAAATTCGCGACTACTGACAGACGTGCCCTTGGCATCGGAAGAAGACGACCCAATAACGCCGAACCACTTCCTTATTAGGTGCTCCAACTCTACTCAAACACCTCAGTCAGCAGATAGGAAAATTTGCCTAAAAAAGCAGTGGCACATTGCTCAAAACCTGAATGACCGGTTCTGGAAGCAGTGGATACGGCACTACTTGCCGCAATTGCTGTTACGTCCAAAGTGGCACGATCGAGCGGAGCCAATCAAGGTAGATGACCTAGTCCTAATCTGCGATGCCCTCATACCTCGAAGCCGGTGGCAGAAAGGACGAGTAACTCGGGTGTTTACAGCCAAAGACGGGCAGGTACGAGTCGCCGATGTCAGAACAGCTGGAGGAGTGCTACGTCGTCCAGCCTCGAAACTTGCCGTATTATGTTTAGAGGGTGAATCCCTAGGCCATTCACGGTGGGATGGGGTGTAAGGGCACCCTGTGCCTCTTCATTTCCCTTGCACTATTTTCCTTTACACCATTATCCTGCACATCACTAGCTGTCATTTGTTTGCTACGTATTTAAGATATTTGCTTGCACCGAAAAATCAGAAGCAATTTGGACAGCAGCCGACAATCGCGCGATAAATACAATTTGGAAACACACCACACACACACTCGCCTTCATCAAATATTTCACATACATTCGTCCAACGTTCGCCCAACATTCATCAAAGTTCTTAAAGTAAAGTTTTAATATTCATCACATTCGTGTGCAATACCCTTCAAGCCACACATTCAACAAGCAACGTATAAAAATCATCATCAACATCAACGTTCGTATTAAATTAGCATTCATGTTTGTAAATTGTGCGTTTTAATCATCGTAACAACTATACGTTTGTAATCTAATATATTAAGCGACATATAAATCAATATACAAAAAACGTTCAGTGTGTTTGCCATTGCTCATAGGCCGCCAAATATTTCACAAGTATTTCGTTTTAAATTTGTTAATTGTAGTAATTTTAATTGTAGTTGTTAATTGCAGTTGGTTGCTAAAAGCGTGGAAGTTGATCTTGCTGAGGACGTCAAACGTTTTTTTTACAAGTGCAGAATTTACTTCCGCGTACGCAATTTGAAAAAGCGCCTAAAAATTAGGAAAGCCAAGCAGAGGATAATGGGTTACAAGAAATTTATAAAAATCTACCTCTGAGTGTAGTAAGTACAGAGAGTTAAACTAATTAAGTATATTGCATTATTTTTTGCTCTTATTATTCTCTCACTCAATGCATTAATAATCTTTCATCTTATATACTTACAGCGTAAGCAGCCACTAGCACCACACCATAGAGGTCATCACTGCAATCACACAACAATTGAAAAATAAACTATTCCTTTTTGCTTATCAACACACTTGGCGATCAAAAGCAAATCGAAATTATTGTGGATATTTACACTCCCAGTCATTATATTAGCAGATCCTTTTTATCCTCAGTATGTACAGTTTTCCTTTTGTTTGTTTAATATTCATTAATTTTTTATAAAAATTTAGAATATTCTACGTGTTAATCCTATTTTAAAATTTTATACAAATTTAAAATACATGTCAACAAAGGGGTGTGCTATCCTAATGACCTGCAGTGCATAAGCTAATAAGATTTTTAGAAAAATTTCGGGTATGCAGTTTTGTAGCCTATTAAATTTTAGTATTTATAATAGAAAACTTAAAGTTTTAAGTTACAAAATTTGTATAACTTTAAACTTGCGCATTATTATACTAATCGGCTACATAACTGCATACCCGAAATTTTTCTAAAAATCTTATTAGCTTATGCACTGTAGGTCATTAGGATAGCTCATCCGTTTGTTGACATGTATTTTAAATTTGTATAAAATTTAAAAATAGGATTTACACGTAGAATATTCTAAATTTTTATAAAAAATTAATGAATATTAAACAAACAAAAGGAAAACTGTACATATTGAGGATCAAAAGGGTCTGATAATACAATGACTGGGAGCGTACTTCCGTCAACAATTTTTCCAAATTGCATGTAAGGTCTCAATAGGGCTATTCAGGATGTTGTGGAAATGGTCTTGGATTTGCAGTTGGAATTGCATTCCCAAATTATATGCTTGCTGCCATGGCAACTATGTGCATTTTATTGTTGTGAATTTACAAATGCAGGAGCATATACACAAGATCCTGAACAGCCCTATTGTTTATTTTTATATATGTAGAATCAGTTTTCCAATTCTCTATCCGATTACAGAGTTCGTTTGATCGCGGTAATTGACAGCCTGATCTTACATTTGCGCTGGCGGTAAGCTGCTATATCACGTCAGTTGTTTCTTCGTTGCGTCAACTGACCAAGCCAGAGCAGCAGATGCCTTTTAATTTGCTTCACCACTTACGTATATTTCGCTGTAAAGCTCATACATCTCAGCATTGCAATAAAACTATCAATTGCATCTGAAAAGGAACACACTATGCTTGCCTCCATGGCGCTGCTCATGCCTTCAAAGATTGTCCGAATTGGCGGAATAGCCGGCCGGCATCACGAACGTGCAACATGCTGCTGTAGTTGCTTAATCAGGGCAGGCAGTCTTGCAGGCGCTCTCCTCCAACACACCTGTGCTTCCTATAATTACCACTCAACTAATGGAATAAGTTGCTGGTTTTAATAAAATGTTTATTGAAATAATTCTTGTCCTACGAGTGATGCTGAAAACGAAGATTGAATATAATTTCTTTCCAGATACTATGTACAATATGAAATAGATGCAATACCGAATATCAATACTAGCAAGCCGATTGATGTGTAAACGAAACTTTGTTTTAACTGGAATAAAGTGAATAAAAATACTAAAAGTACTTAAAGAATGGGCTTTATGTAATTGAAAGTACTGAAAACAGTGAGTATAGACATAAATCTGTGCACTTTTGTTAGTTCGGGACTAAATGCAAAAGAACATGCGACTATAACACATATACTTGAAATCAGCTCGTGAACTAATCAATCTCCAATTATGTTCTTCAAATAGTATCTTTGAACAAATTAAGGCTTTTTAATTTTTTTTTGTTATATAAGCTTACAGAGTTATCAAAATTGTTGCGACCAAGCACGAGTCCGAACTTAACAGAAATAGTCAGAAGTCGTTCCCGTACAAACGTTTATAATATCTTCAGTACGTAGTTACCTACTAGCTCTCTCTGTGAACGGTTGCATTTTTTGATTTTGCTCTTGTGTTTCCCGCTATCTTATAAACGTTATACACTTTGTGTAAAACAGTTATATTACGGTTACGGTTACATTTATTTTCTTCATTCAACTGACTTTATATATTTTTTTGTTTAAAAGTAAAGATTAAAACCAAGTACGTAAATACATATTTGTGTGTTCGAAATGGCCCCGGCGGCCACCTACCTTGGGGTGAACAGGTATGCCCTGTTATCTCCGCCCCCGAAACTAAAAAGAAAAAAACCTGATTTAACGCCGTTGGACCCTTTCCCTGGACTCCCGATCATAAAAAAGGATGACCCGAAATTCTTAATTATAAAATCATCTGATGATAAAAAACCGATTACAACTTTTTCGTGCTTTTCGATCCATAAAAGAATTCAAGCCATAAGCGGTGAGGGCAACGTCATCTCTGAGCTTCGTGATGACAGCTTATTGCTGCTTGCTAAGAATAAGAAAGCTGCTGATAAGTTCCTGAATGCTAAGACATTACCCGGTGTTGGAAATATTTCTATAAAGTTACACAATAACCTCAATTCGGTAAAAGGCACAATTTATGCGCCCTTCTTAATCCACGTTTCCGAAGACGAAATAGTTGAAGGCCTCAAGGAACAAGGAGTAACAGCTTCTTATACATTTTCAAAAATTATTGATAACTCTCGTAAGCCTTCTGCCGCCATCTTGTTAACCTTCGATAAATATACTCTCCCGGATAAAATTGAGGTCGCCTGGAGGATTCTTGACGTTCGACCATACTACCCTAACCCTATGCGTAGTAAGGTATGTCAATCTATTGAATCTATTGATCACACTGCTAAGCATTGCCATAATCCCCCAGTCTGTGCCACGTATACACTTCCCCCCCCATACTCCATCAGATTGCACTAGAGTCTTATGTGCCAATTGTTCAGGCAATCGCCCTTCCTCATCGAACCAATGTCCTGAATTCCAACAGATGAGAGAGATCCTCAAAGTTAAAACTATAAATAAGTGATGTAATGTGGAACGATTTTCCGTCATCCCTTGTCAAATTTGGTTTGGAGACAAACCGGTTTCGGCGTTGTGCCATCTTCAGTGTCATTTTTCGAAGAACCAAATTTGACTCCAAACCAAATTTGACAAGGGATGACGGAAAATCGTTCCACATTACATCACACTCCTACCCTGTCGGAAACACCAACAACGAAAATGAGACTATAAATTAGTGTTCAATGCGTGAAGCCATTAAAAAATATAATAGCCAAAACCCGTTTACTCCCAAAGCTAATTCCTATGCAAACATAACAAAAACATCCAACCAAATCATAGAATCATCAACAAAAACTGAAAACAACATTAAACCAAAATATGAATCTTCCATCGCATCTAATTCTTCTCCTTCTTATGGAGACTCCTCCTTCCCCTAACTTCTCCCCTGTTACCAACTTTGATAACTCTTCACCCAACACCCCTTCTTCCTCCCCAATGCTCGTCTCTCCCCTTTCCTTTTCCCAACAAATTCCTCTCACCCCACCTAATACTCTTGAGTTATACTCTCCCTCCTCTTCATCTAAGTAATTCTTGCTTTTATTTCTTGCCTTTATGATTTCTCTCTTGCAGTGGAATATGAATGGTTATTTAAATAACTATATTGAACTAGAGTACTTAATTAAAACTATTAACTCCTCAGTCGTTTTGTTAAATGAAACCCACCTTACACATAATATCATAGCCCCTACTCCTAAAGCTTATATTGGACACTTCTACAACCTCCCCCAAATTACCAATAGTAAACAAGGCATTGCAATCCTAATTAAATGAAATCTGCCTCATTCTACCTATTACCCTACTTCCAGTTAGCCAACAAAATTTCAATTATTTGTGCTTATTCTCCTCCTAATGAATTTTTCGCTTTAACTGACTTTAATAATCTTACACCCTCTTCCTCTAATCCCTATATTATAGCAGGTGATTTCCATGCTTGGGGTCCCCTTTGGGGTTCTCCTTCAGCTAATTCTAAAGATTTTTACTTACTTCTAATGGAATTATTCTGAATGATGGATCCCCCACCCACTTTTCTACTCACTCTTCCTTTACTCATATTGATATCACTCTTTCGTATTCTCCTCCATCCTCTAAATGTTCTTGGCATCCAATAGATGACCTTCATGGAAGTGATCACTTTCCTATAGTTACCAAAATTTCTACCTCCCGTGTTTTAACGACCTATAAGCCCAGATCCTTTTTTAAAACAGATTTAGCTAACTGGGCCAAATTTGAAGACTCGTGTTTTAGATTTTCCAACTCATTTCCCTCCTCCTCCATATCAATCAGGAAACTTACAGGATTCATAAAATTATTCGATGCGCAGCTAATCAATCTATCCCTGTATCGTCATCGAAACCTGTTAGGCCTACCCCCTTATGGTGGAACAGTGATCTAGCAGAGTAAATACAAGATAAACAACGTAAGTGGCATGAATTCAAACGTAATCGCATCTCAACCAATCTTATTCAATACAAGAAATCTTACGCTTTATTTCGACGTGCATCTAAAGTTGCCAAAATGTCTTGCTTCCAAAAATTCACTTCCTCCATTAACTCTTCTTGTGACACCAAAATAATTTGGTCGGATATAAAAAGGCTAACTGGATTTCCATCTTCCTCCTCCATCACATCAATTAATTCACCTCGAGGCAAACTTCTATATCCACGGGATATAGCTGCAGAATTTTCTCTCTATTATTCCAATAACTCCTCTGACACTAGTTTCCCTTCTGAATTTTATTCTACTAAATGTTCAATTATCTCATCCTCGTACCTCCCTCCTAACGCTCTATCTTTCTCTGCCAAGCTAATAGATGCTAATCTTTCTCTACTTGAATTCCGCACAGCTCTATCCACTGTTAGAGGCAAAACACCTGGCATAGATAAGATCTCCTATACCATCATAAAACATCTCCCTTCTTTTCTTTTTTCCCGTATTGTATCATATTATAACAACATCTATATCACTGGTGATTACCCTGTTTTGTGGAAGAAGAGCTCGATCATACCAATTTTGAAGCCAGGTAAACCCCCCTGCGAGGTAGGTAGTTACCGCCCTATTTCCCTCCTGCCGTGCCTTGGTAAACTGATGGAGAAAGTTATTGCATCCAGGCTCACCTGGTATGTTCATAAGAATAAGTTTCTCCACCCTAACCAGGTTGCATTTAAGAGGGGGCAGGGCACTATTGACGCTCTTTTGCATTTAGATAATTTTGTTTCGGAAGCATTGTCTTCCAGAAATCACATATCGTTACTCTCGATAGATTTTTTAAAAGCCTTTGACCGTATTGGCATCCATGTGGTATTGAGACGGCTTATTGAATGGAAAGTTGGCCCTCGTATATACAATTTTATAAAATCTTTTCTTTCGAATCGTAAAATTAGCGTTCTCATTTCTAACATTCTCTCTTCTACCTTTCCTCTTGATAATGGAACTCCACAAGGTTCCCCTCTTTCTGTTATTCTTTTTATACCCGAGCGCACTTGTGCACAAGGGTATATTAATTTTGTTCACATAACGGTTGTTTGTAACAGCCAAAACGAATCGAGATAGATATAGACAAATGTATACATAAATGATCAGGATGAAAAAAGAAATCGATTAAGCCATGTCTGTCTGTCCGTCCGTCTGTCCGTCTGTCCGTCTGTCCGTGTACACGATAACTCGAGCAAAAATTGAGATATCTCAACGAAATTTGGTATGTAGGTTTCCCTTAATCCAAGGTAGGTTGGTATTGAAAATGGGCGAAATCGGACTTTAACCACGCCCACTTCCCATATAACGGTAATTTCCAGAAATACGAAAACTGCGGTATTTTAGTAACTACTGAAGATAATTCACTCAAAATTGATATTTACAATAATTTTTAGACGAAAAATAAGAATATTATAAATTTTTGGAAAATGGGCGTAGCCACGCCCACTTATGGTTACATGTGTATATCTCAGTAACCGCTGCACCAATTTCTTCCAAACTTGGCACAGTTGTTGGCCTTCGCATAACATACCAAATGGCCGAAAATTTTTGAAATCGCTCAATAACCACGCCTACTTCCCATATAACGGTAATTTTCAGAAATACGAAAACTGCGATATTTTAGTAACTACTGGAGATTATTCACTCAAAATTGATATTTATAATAAGTTTTAGACGAAAAATAAGAATATTATAAATTTTTGGAAAATGGGCGTAGCCACGCCCACTTATGGTTACATGTGTATATCTTGGTAACCGCTGCACCAATTTCTTCCAAACTGGGCACAGTTGTTGGCCTTGGTACAGCATAAAAAATCGCCGAAACTTTTTAAAATCGGACAATAACCACGCCCACATCCCATATAACGGTAATTTAGAGAAATACAAAATCTTCGATAAATCATTAAATATTGAAGCTAATTTATTCAAAATTGATGCTTGCAACAATTCTTTACCAAGAAATACGTTTATGGTAAAATTTTGGAAAATGGGCGTGGCACCGCCCACTTATGATCACATATAAGTATATCGGTAACCGTTCTACCAATTTGTACCAAACTCGGTATGGTTATTGTACTTGCCACGTGTAAGCAAAATGTTGAAAATTATTGAAATCGGACTAAAATAACGGCCGATTCTCATATAACGGTAAATTTAAGAAATGCTTGAAACTTCAATATTTCGAAATTGAAGGACGCTAATTTACTCAAAATTGATACACCTCGGCTTACCATCTAGCGGAAGGTTTCGGAAGGGTGAAAAAACATATATTTAATACTTGCGCCGGGTATTTAATGTTCGGCTCCGCCCGAACTTAGACTTTCTTACTTGTTATTATTGCATTTGATGAAATTGATGAAATGATGGTCACCATTAACAAATTTCCTAATGACAGCCATCTTATTTACGGCGATGATTTGCTACTATTTTCTAAAACTTCTAATCTATCTTCGGTTATAGTATCTTTTACTGAAATTCTATCTCTCATATACAATTGGTCACGTTCTTCAGGCGCCTCAATCTCATCCTCTAAATCCAAATGGATGCATATTTGTAAGAAACGAAATTGTGCTATTCCTTTACTGTCTTTTAATAATGTAAATATACCTTGTACAAATATACTTAAGTTTCTCGGCATTGTATTGTCAACTGTCAGTCTGGCAACACTCACATAACTGCAAGAGTTTTGACATTTTTCCTTTTTTTATGCTATGTACGAATGAAATGTAAAGACGGGCGCGTGAAGCGACGGAGCGGATACAAAAATACATATATATATTATAACGTTGAGAATTGGCCTACAATTTATTTTTAAAAGTAGACTCGCGACAGTCACAAGTGAGCTGAAACAAATACCCTGCGCTGGTTATTTACCAAAATGGATCTCGAGAAGTGTACGGTGGTGCAGCTAAAAAACGCATTGCGTGAAGCGCAGTTGAAAACCTCAGGAACAAAGGAGGAGTTAATTTTAAGGCTTCAAGATAGTGGGTGTACAGTATTGCCGGCTGCACAAGAGGGGGCGGTAATGGAGCAGGTCGATCAAGAAGGTGGATGTGAGGCTCCGGAGCGACAAGTGAATAACGATCTGAGGCAGTTGCAGCAGGAAGTGAGTGGTCTTAAAAAGATGATCGAAACACTCACAGCAGCACTGGGGCAGACCGGCTTGTCAGGGTACGCAGTATCTCCGACCAGCTCATATGGTAATTGCGAACAAAAGTACACATACCCAGTCGACGCGAATTCTTCTAGAAGAAATTTGAATTCAACCGAAATGAGCGTAGCAGGCATAGCAATGCCGTCCATCAGCCAAGCGCGTTGGGCGTCAGCAGAAACGTCTATAGCGGCAACCGTAACGTCTACAACAGCAACAGTAACGTCGACAGTGGCAGCAATAAACTTCAATTCGGCAAGTATGAACAGCCAACACATGCCTTTTGCATGGGGAAGCTGCAGTGGTGTAAGTATGAGCAGTCATATTGCACGAACGCATGATGCGCACGAAGTTATGTCCAGCGTTGCCGTTTTGGTCCAATTGGACCAAAATTGGTAGGTTCAATTTAAGAAAATAAATTTTGGTAGGTTGGTAGGCAGAAATCGAATTTGGTAGGTTTTGATGTATATTAAATATTTATTGCAGTTTGTCTAGATCGTTGCAAACAAAAAAAAAAAAAAAAACAATTATCCGTACAACTTTTATCCAAAATCAAAAATTCTTCTTAACAATTACATTGATAGAAAATGATTTGGCATTTTGCAACACTGATGTAATCAAAATGCAACACTTCTTTGAAGCTTGGGTTTTTTCCATTGTGAATGATTATCCATTCACTATGTTCTTTTCATTTATTGGAAAAATTCAAATGAGACTGCGATAGGTTTTCTTAAGAGGTTAACTATATAATTATACCTGGGTGCCTTGCTGAAATTTAGAAGAACCATGGACAGGTAAGATATCCACCATAATCCATTTACATAAGACAATTTAAAAAAATATCATAATGTTACAGGTTTCTGACAAAAACATCCAATCTAATTCCTGAAAAGGACAGCGATGTTTCCCAAACAAAAGCTTCATGCAGGTAAGTGTACATACAGCAGTTGCAGTAGTTTGGCGGCAAAATATTTTCATTCGTTTATTTGTTAGTAACTATAAAAGTGAAGATGAGCAGAAATTTAAAAGAAAATTCAGAGTTGAATGGTTCCAACAATTCGATTGGGACGAGACAAAAATGGGTGCGCGTTTTGCATTGCATGCGACAAAACAATATTGAACCATTTGACACACCTTAAAAACCACGAAAAGACAACCTTCCATGTGGTTAACCTTGAGCGCAAAAAGAAGCAACTTTCCATTGACAAATTTTTGGGCCCAGAACATCAGAAATTCCAACAACAGGTACGCGATGCTGAACTTACACTAGTGATGTTCCTTATAACCCACAACCTTCCATTCTTATTAATGGATTATTTACCGGGTTTATTAACTGAATGTTGTCCAGATTCAAATATAGCAAAAAATATTAAATGTGGAAGAACTAAATCAGTTCAACTGACTGAGTTTCTATCAAATTTGGCTAGTAAAAATATTGTAAATTATCTTAAACAAAACAAATTCTCACTGATCGTTGACGAAACAACAGACGTTTCCATGAAAAAGTGCTTAGTACTGGTTGCCAGATATGTGGACAGTGTTCACGTAGTCCACGATCGATTCCTTGCTATGATTGAGCTTGCACAGGCAGACGCTCAAACAATATTTTTCGCAATTAAAGAATTTTTCCGGAAATATAGCATTCCTTTACAAAATATTATTGGCTTAGCCACTGACGGTGCAAGCGTCATGGCAGGCGAAATAGGTGGTCTAAAAACACTTTTAAAAATGGAAGCGGATATTTTTTATTTAAAATGTACCTGTCATTCCTTGCACCTATGTTCTAGTTATGCCTCCAAGAAACTTCCAGGTAACATTGAGGTGTTGTGTAGAAACATCTATAATTATTTTTCGCATAGTCCTAAGCGAATTTCTGAATTAAAAGAATTTCAAAACTATTGCTGCGTAGCAACTCACAAAATTTTAGGAATCTCTCAGACAAGGTGGCTTTCACTGGAGGGGGTTATCTGCAAAATTATAGAGCAATGGGAGAGTCTTAAATTATATTTCATTTCCTGTTTCTTGGAGGTAAATGGCATTCGTCCTGCTGAATTAGCGAACGCAATGAATGCAGAAATGAAATCTTACTTCCTTTTTTTGTCATACATATTGCCGATAATAAATAATCTCAACAAGGAGTTTCAGTCGGTAAGCACTCGTCTACCATATTTATATACCAGTATGAAGTCAAACTGTTTATTAATTTTAAGCAATTTTATAAGAAAAGAAATTATAGTAAATATTAACATTGACTACAAATCCAAATGTAACCATTTAGATACAAATTTGATTTTTTCTGGAACGAAAACGGAAATTTATATGGAGAAAAATTTAAGTGCTAATGAAAAAGTGAAAGTAAAAGAAAACATTTTGAACTTTTACATCGAACTCATGGATCAAATTTGTACAAGATTCGATTTCACGAGAGAAGATCTAAAACTTTTGCAAATTATTACACCTACTAATGTTCTGTCTAAAAATGATGTTTCCATTTTACATTTAATTTTACATTTTAAGAACTTATTAGAATGTGATTCGGATATTGTAATAATGCAATGGAATTTGCTAAGGCTCAGCGAAACAAATTTAAAATGTGACATGGATATAGTATATTTCTGGCAACAAATAAGTATGATTAAAAATGGACTAAATGAATATTCTTTTAAAGAATTATGTAATTTTGTATTTAACTTATTATCTTTACCTCATAGTTCTGCTGCAGCTGAACGAAAATTTTCAGACCTCGCTCTTATAAAGACTAAACTTAGAAATAAGTTAGAAACATGTACAATTAATAATATAATGTTGTGCAAAGAATTAATTAATAGAAATATTAATGCACACTATGTATGAACAGTACAGGCTGATCTTAAAACTTGTCAAATCAAAGATACATAAATGTTAAAACTATTTAGGGTAGGCGCACCAGAGCGAATTTTATTTTTTTTATTTAATTGAATGAATTCATGAATTTCATCAAACAAAATGTGATATCTACGCAACAGCTCTGTGCCTGAATAAAGATTTAAAACTATACCTATGTATTATAAATCGGTGCATGCGCGCTTTGGAAGTACTGAAATGAATACGTGATTTTATACGATCTCAATGAATTATTGTACGAAGTTCCTGTGAACTTTGCTTTATTTAATATAGTATAAGAAATGTTGTTATGTTCCCTTTTACAATAAAAATCGATAAAAAACGTTTAATGTTTTCGTTTATACATATTCCATTATTTGGTAGGCTGGTAACCGTTTTGGTAGTTTTTAAAAAAACATTTGGTAGGGAGGACAGGTTTTGAGTGGCAACACTGGTTATGTCCCCTGTCGACGATTCCAATGCCAACGTCTTATTGGGATGTTCAATATAATTTGCCAATAAGATCATCAGCGGTAAGAGGGAGTGAGCAGATGTTAAACTCAACGAATTGTCTTTCTAACTTCAACTCACTACGAAGATATGAGAACAGTGCAAACGTTCAAAATCAAACGAATATGTGTACACACAACAATAATAAACTTGGGTTGAAAGAAATCATAGATATGCTGCCAGATTTCGATCCATGCAAAAATGACATTACATCGGTGCAGTTTGTTGAAAGGGTAGAGCAACTGAAGATTGCGTACGGTTGGGACGAGAGACTAATAAATATGGCAATGATGAGCAAATTGAAAGGTGTTGCCAAAACTTGGATAGATTCGGAGCCAATATTTTGTAGTTGGAGTGAGTTTGTATGTGCGTTTCTCACAGACTTTCCTTGTGTTATTAATACAGCAGACATTCATGTGAAATTAATGAAATCGCGTATACGGAGAGACGAATCTCAAATTGAATATTTTTATAGAATGCTGGCACTTGGAAAACGCGGCCGTGTTGAAGAAAATGCAGTAGTTAGGTACATAATAGATGGGTTAGGTGATAAAGAGCTATCGCGAATGCTACTGGCAATGAACTTCTCAAAGTTCTCGGATTTGTTGAAAGTGTTAATGTCCATGAGTGCTAGTGGTAGTCAGCCGTATGCAGATAGAAGTTTTAATGAAAACAAAATGCGTAACGAAACCAGTAAGAACGAAAGTGGACAAACTGAAAAAGTGTCAAAGGTGCAAGATGGCCTAGTTTGCTTCAGGTGTAAAGAAAAGGGCCATATTGCGAAAAACTGTGAAAACAAAATAAACCAAAACACAAGAATAAATACAATCAATAAAAATACATCGGAAAGTAACCATGAAGAAATAATAACAAATCTGAAAATTGGTAATGTTGATTGCAAAGGACTTGTAGACTCAGGAAGTGGAAATTCTTTAATTAAAAGAAGCTTGGCAGAACAGTGTGAAGGTGAATTCGTTGCGTGTGAGGTAAAACTAAAGGGGTTTGCAGGCGGAATGTGTGAGTGGCTTGAAGCGCTATCGACAATGGTTACGATTGAAAACCATGAATATGTATGCAAACTTTTGATAGTAAACAATGAAGATATGCCATATGACTTGTTGATAGGGCGTGATATGCTGAGAGAAATGAAAGTGGTTCTTGAGAATGGTCAGTATGAAATCGTACCACTTGTTGAACTGATTACCAGCAATGATACTGACAATAATGATAAACATAAATTGCAAGATAAAAAGCTTTTTGAAATAGTCGAAATATTAAGTAGTACTCAGACATCCAGCAAGCGAAAAGTGTGGGAATTGGAATATACTATAAAAAACGGGCGATTGTATAAGAAGGAAGGTGATAGAGTAACGTGCTTGGTGGTACCAAAGGGGGAACGATGGCGAATTTTAAAATTATGCCATGATGATATGGGTCACCCGGGTCTTGAGAGTACTTTGAGGAAGATTAGAGAGAGTTTTTGGTTTCCAAGGTGTCGCAATTTTGCTAAAAATTATTTAAAGTCGAATGTTGCTTTAGTCGAGAACCATCTGGGAAAGAGGGTCGATTATATGGGATGGGCATCCCACAATTTCCATTTGAGGTTTTGCAGATGGATCACCTTGGTCCTTTCATAAAGAGTAAAAGGGGTTATGAACATATACTGGTGATCGTCGATGCCTTAACACGCTACAGCGCTATTGTTCCAGTCAAGTCTACAAAAACTAAGCCAGTTATAGATGCCCTCAATCAGCTTACACTCTTTGTTGGGTTGCCAAAAACAATCGTGACCGACCGAGGTACATCGTTCACCTCTAACAGTTTTGCGGAATATTGTAATGGTAATGCGATTCAGCACATAAAAGTAGCAGTCCGGACTCCGAGGGCAAATGGCATTGCCGAACGAGTCAACCAGTCCATATTAGCGTATTTAAAGCCGTCAGTCACTGATCCGAAAGATTGGGATCTCGAAGCTAGAAGGTTGCAGTGGAAGATCAACAGTAGCAAAAATTCGACTACTAAACATTCACCATTGGAACTTGTATACGATTTTCCTTTACGGGACATAAGCGGCAATAAGATTCTTGCCGCTATACACGATGATTGCAATTCAGCTCCAATTAATATCATCGAGAAGCGCACTGAGGCCATTAAAAATATTGAAGCTGCTAGAAAAGAATGGAAGAAGCGGTTCGACGCGAAACACAAACTGCCATATCAGTACAACGAGGGTGACTTGGTACTATTAGAATCACAACTACAAAGTACTGGTGAATCTCGAAAACTCGATGTTAAATATAAGGGGCAGTACGTTGTCCAAAAGAAGTTGCGTTGCGATCGATACGTTGTAGGTGAAATTGATAGCATTTCCCGTCGTCGTCGAAAATTCAGCACAGTTGTGACAAGCGACAAGTTGAAACCGTGGTGCGTTGCGTTTCCAGAAATCGATGAAGCTTATGACGATGAAGAAGATGATGCAGTTTATACTTGATCAATGAACCAACCCGAGGAAGAGCTTAACGGTCAGGAAGGGCCGAGTTGTCAACGGTCAGTCTGGCAACACTCACATAACTGCAAGAGTTTTGACATTTTTCCTTTTTTTATGCTATGTACGATTGAAATGTAAAGACGGGCGCGTGAAGCGACGGAGCGGATACAAAAATACATATATATATTATAACGTTGAGAATTGGCCTACAATTTATTTTTAAAAGTAGACTCGCGACAGTATTATACTCTAAGTACTCATTCAAAGATCATTGTAATCATACAAGAGATAAACTATTTTCTAGCTCAAGTACTATTAAGTATGTTTCGTGCAAGCGCTCACTCATTGGCCCGGCTCTGCTGTTGAAGGTCACCTCCGCTCTCATCTTGTCGACTATCAGCTATGGACTAGAAATATATGGGCATCATGGCAAACATAATCTTAAGATGCTAGCAGCTCCGTACCATACTGCTGTTCGCCGCTCTTTTCGCGCCTTCCCTACATCTTCAATAAGGAATATGTTAACTGAAGCTGGGCTGCCTTCGTTAAACGACATAATGGTAGATTCCATCTATAAGCTCTACCCAAAATTCGTCACTGGATCCAACTCTCTGCTTCTGAAAGACTTTAATAGAGCTGCCTCACGGAAGCGGTTGCCTAAGGTTAAATCCACCATTTATTAATATGCAATGTATGCAAGAGACAACCAGTTACAGCTAACAAAGCCTATACCTCGGGGTACTCATCACCCGTCATGGACAATTAAGGAAGGATTATTCGTCAGCGATCTTGTTACCCTTCCTAAATCCAGCACAACTAGCTCTGAGTACATAGCCCGATTCTCTGAAGTTGCAAATCAGTTCAAATCGAGTGGCTGGCAGTTCATTTTTACTGATGGATCTAAATCTTCTAACACCTCTTTCGCTGCTGTGACAGAAAATAATATACCTATATTGTACGGTCTTCTGCTACCCTTCTGTTCTGTTTTCACAGCTGAAGCTACTGCCATTCTTCACGCTTTTAATTTTTCTAAGCAAAGTAAAGGAAAATGTGTCATTTGCACAGATAGCTTATCTTGCTTTAAAGCCATACAACACTTCAGCAATACTAATTACATTGTCTGTGCTTTAAGAGACGTCCTAATCGCTACCACCACAAACTGAGAATTATGTGGATTCCGGGTCATTCGGGCATCAAAGGCAATTCGATGGCGGACACAACTGCCAAAGAAATGTGCAACACCCCTACAATCCAGATGAGGTCCATCTCTCTTCATCAAGAGCGACATAAACCGGCTTATAGCTCAACAAAGAAGTGCCAAGTTAGCAGCTGACTGGATGAATTATTACCCACCATTACTCCCGTAATAACATTAATCGGTCTAAACCAACTTATTCGACGTCCGTCCCAGCAAACCACACCACTCCATATATACGATTACGTATTGGCCACACCATTATTACAAACAGTCATCTACTGAATGGTACCAGTCCTAACCAGTGTCCTTATTGTGATTCCCCCGTTAGCGTTCTACACATTGTAGCTTTTTGTCCTGTTCCGGCAAATCACAGACATCGCATTTTTGGAAATGATGATCCATTTGGATTACTAATGAACCCTTCTACTAACAACATATGCAAATTTTACAATTTTCTCAAGGATACTGATCTTCTCCGGCGCATTTAAGACAAAGCCTTTTTCGCCAGCCAGCCGAAAGCCTCTGCTGCTAGCGCTGCTTTTTCATAGGTTGTATAATAATTGTTATTATTATATAAGCTTTCTTAAATAAATAAATAATTTTCAGTACAATTTTCCGGACTCAATCTGACTATTTCTGGTAAGTTCGGATTCGTATGGGATCACAGCTATTATCATATCAACTAAGGCTAACACTA